AGATTTTAATATATACATAGCTTGTTGGTTTCCGAGATATACAGTGTGTCAAAGTTCTTTAGTAAGAAGTTTTTCCACTACTTTTCGGGTATATAATTAATTAGAATAAAACTTGCATGTTGATGTACTTTCATGAGGTATACTTCTGTTTCATATAAGTATCCATGGTTAAAAGAAGGTCTGGGAAAAATGGATGTCGACAGGACGTCCCTGCAAAGTCATGAAACTGTCGTGTCCTTTTACCCATCCAAGTGACGTTCACTCGACGTCGGAACAATGACGTCATAGTAAGTACGTCATAGTGACGTCATAAATTGGTGTGTGACGTCTCTGACGAAAAATCACCAATTATAGGGACGTCACAGTGACGTGATCATTCGTTATCTGGATGCCTGGGATCATCGGGTCCCTTCATTTCAGCAACCGTAGCTACCTTATTGTGAGATATTTTTAGTTCCTCTTTGTATATCTGCACATGTTCTCTATGTCCCAAAATAAATAATTCGTTACCTGTTGATTGAGTTTACATTGTTGAAGAAAATGAGTTTCTTATAGCAAAAAAATCAGGGTCAGGGTCTGGATTCCAATTGGAAACAGTACGCGAGTATAGCAATGAATACCTCTACATGTTTCACGATTTGTTATAGCCCACTTAATAGCATTATACTGTTTCCCGTATAACACCTGATGCGTAATCGAAACGCCATTAAAGCGTTCAGTCAGTTTTTGCATGATTTCTCTAATTTCGCACACTCTAATATGCCATCGATTTCGACGTAATGTGCAATATCCCCGAATATCATTGCGGAAACATTCACATTGCGGCCGCTTTTCCCCCAATTTGTGATATCCGATCCTACAAAAGATCAAGCATTGCACAACCAGTTTTTCAAACGACATCAATGCCTTTATGTGCATGCAAAAACTCGTTAATCACAACGACTTTATAATACCGTTCCAACTTTTTGTCTGTTTGCGGTTATGGCAAGTTATGGCTTTGTTTTCTGCAGCCGATAGCGAAAGTGGACGAAAAAATTCCCATAAATCAATTATTGATCGGCAGCGCTTTCATTACTGTAACATTTGGTCGGAATGAATCGAACGTGACTTTTTCGATCATTTTTCCGTCGATTAGCTTCGATCTGAGCGAAAAGCAGCAATAATAAATCGTAAATAATACGTTAATGATTGCTTATGGGAGCATTCTCTTCTTGATGGCAAGCAAAGATGCATGGCATTATGCTATATAATAGGTCTTCTACTTCTGTTATGGAAACTGTGGGAGGCGCCTTTTATGATTATGTACCTACTTAGGTGGCTTGAAAGAGGAAGCGATCATCTCATGGAGGTCCTAATAGCACAATAATCATTTTATCCAATGGTCATCCATTTGACGTTATTCGAATTGGTATAGCATTGATGTTCATTAGGCGAATATCTCACTATCTTGAATGACCCTCAAGTCTTCATGGACAATCCGAGATTTCTTCAGAGAGCCTATTCTGAAATTCATTTTCCTCATTGGTACCCTACAATGCTTATTCATTGAACGCCTCAACGTGTTCGAATCCAACTTTCAAAAACGAATTCTAAAAAGGTCAACAAACTAATTATCTATGAGACTAGAGTACCATGTAACGTTAAATGAAATACCACTGATAAATGCTCAGCCACTCTATATTATCATTTGGTAGATCCATATTTATGATCTCGAAGTGTACCAATGATAGTTATTTTTGAATCTAGTGCGCGAAATGCTACTTTGGTGATCCAGAACTGATTTTTTGAACGAGGCGCAGCCGATTTGAAGAAATATCCGAGATTACCAAGGTATTTCGCGCACGAGTTTCGAACAAAATTCTTGCTACAAACTTCGAAAAATATAGTTCTGAAGTGGTAATACGCTCAGCTTAATATGAAAGTAGTGTTGAAATGGCTTGAAAGGCCCCCTCCCTAACAACACAGGGATGTCCTAGGTACGTCCCTTTTTTGTCCCGCGATACAAGGACATGATTAGGACATCCAGGGGATGTCCCACATTGGTTGTCCAGTGGACATCCCGCCTGGTACATCCCTAGGTTATCCCATTAGTGTCCCTGGAATATCTGATATCACATCAGAGTCATTGAATTTTATCAAAATATTGAGTCGAATTTTCTCGAAAATGTATTTCTTCCGGAAAATAATTGTAATGAAAATAAAGAATATAGTCTCAAAACTTCTCAAGAAATGATCATTTTCAAACACCCAAGAATGATTATAATCATACCCGAATCCTAAGTTTCATTCATTCAGGTTTCTGTAGTTTAGGCCTGCTTATAAATCTGTTCAATACATGAATCTTCAGAAGGCATATTAGCCAATGGAGTAAGGTGCGTGCCTAATAAGCTGAAGGTCCCGGGTTCTATTCCTACTCGACCTACATTTTCTTCTTTTCTGGAAGGGATGTTTCTGTGATATCCTAAGGACGTCCTAGGCATATTCCTTCTTCGTATCCCAGGGACGTACCAGAAGGGACCTTCCTTGGATGTCCTTCTTGTCTGAAAGCGGATGACCCTGGGACGTTTTCTAGTAAGTACTTTGTCTCGACAAAGGATATTCCTGGGATGTCCTAGTTTGGAATCAGGAACGTCTCTGGGGAGTCCCTAGGACGTACTCGTGTTGTTAGGGTTCCTATCCTCCCTAGGCACGCACGATGGAACATGGAAACCAACCATTCTTCTGAGAATGACCAAGAGTAATTTTCCAAAGAAAAAACAAGATTATATCCACAGTCGTTTTGGCCACTGGCCATCAATAGATAAAAAGTCACGATGTAAAAGTACCCAAAATCAATCATAATGGGACAATAATTCATAGAACAAATATCATTTTATAACTGGCCCTCCCACTACAAACATGTATGCAATAGGAAAATTGCATGTATGTTGGTATATCCAGAAATCCACCGACAACTTTGAATCTAGAGAAAGTCAAGAACGCCAGACTGGTTTCAGGTGATATAAAGTAGGCCGTGCTTCCTGCTTTATTGAACATTGTGTAGGACAAAAATTATAGAAGACATGGATACAAAGAAGGTTTCAAAGAGCAGGAAATCGGAAATGTTGAGTTAACATCTAAACTACCAATTCCAGAAAAAAGTTGTGAAGTACGAAGGGTGTAAGAGCTTGAGGAACCATGACTATATATAGGACAGTTATTCACAATGAGTAAATGATGAAAATGTCGTATATCATCATTTGCACACTAAACAAACTATAGAAATATTGGAGTGAGAAAAAAATATGGTTATGACTTTCACTTGGTATATTTCTGGGTTTCAAGAAAATCCAGCCGAGGCCCTTCATTACAGGAGTGAATAAAATCGATATTTTCATCGATGCTGATGTTGAAGTTATGATAATGTTCAATGACATTCATGGTATGCATGGAGAAGTCATGCAAGTGTTAACATTTGCCGTATTTCTATGTCTTTATCAATTTCTTGTGTTCAGAGGCGCGCGAATATCGAAACACCTTTCAGTCTGGCAAATGAATGAAGCGTTGAAATCGTTACAGTCGAGCTAGCTATATTGAACAGATTCATATAAAGGAGGATATATTCTTCGTTCCATTGGCAAAAGAATTGAATTGAATAAAAAATGGTGATTATTTTGTACGTTGAGATCGATAGTGTGACAACTCAAAAAAGTTGATTTTTGAATTAGAACCACCGTCGGATAGCAAATTTCGAGCTCTACACTTCTAGAATATCGTGACATCTCTAGGTCCAATAGCTGCTGTGTGACATCGCTGGTCACGTTATTGCACTATAGGAGAAGTAGGTACTACAGCCGAGCAAGAAAGTGACTTTTTGCGTTGTAACCTAAACACTTCGAGGAAATTCTTATGATAAATAATGTGACAAATCATTAGGTCACCTTATTGAATGAACACAATTAGAAATTTGTTGAGTTGTAACGTTATTACATTTTCTTCATTAAATGGAATAATCAATTGAACGCAATACATTCTCGAAAGGTACCCAATGTTAACAATATGGACTAGAAAACTAAAATGAAACTTTCGAATGTATGTAATTCTCTTTGCATGAAATATCAAGCTTCACTTTCTCTGTAAATTCCAATTTCGAAAAATATATTATAATTCCTTCGGATTAAACATTTAGGAAAAAGGGTGTTTGAAAAAGAATTCCCAAGAGTAGATGTGAATTTGAATTTCATTCTTTATGAAATTTTCTTCGTTAAGGAAATTTACCTATACTTTATTCGTGCCTATAGTCACTTCTCTTCCCAAACTATGACATTTCAACTTTATGCGAATTGTCAATTGAACTTATTGCTATCCAACTCAAAAGTTTTCTCTTGAAAATACCCGTTTGTTTCTATTCAGAAACTGAAGGAAATAGAAAAACTGACAAAAGAGGAATGTTCAGCAACCGAAGGGCACGATTTGGATTCTGCTGAAATGTTAGGAACTCAGAGCACATCTTCAATAAACCCAGTCATGAATATAATAGGGTCTACTAATGGAGAAAAATACCTATAATACATGTTTTATGGCAATTTTCCGAGATGTAACATCCCAGAAAATTTCTGCTTTCGAGGCGTGACATCTCTAAGAATTGTCGAATATGATGAATCAAATCTGTACCTTATTACATATCGAAACTAGAAATTTCTCATGTAAGCTCATCACATAATAATATAATTTCAACCAAATATACTTCTCGCGGTGATTGAGGTTCACCAGCGACAAAATCATTATCATGAAGAAGTGAAAATTTTCGAAGTCGATTTTCTCAAAACAAAAAATTCCGAATTACCACTATATTGTTCTCAACGTGCGATTTGGTCTCAGAATAAGTGATATATTAACGAAAAGTTAACGATGATAATGATATCAATATTGCAAGTGCAGCTAGGTATAAGAGATATCTGACCAAAAACGGAATTTCGTTCAATTGAGCGAGATGGGACTCGACTGATCCCAAAACTTACTTTCCATCCATGAATCTCCGACAACCTGTTGGCCACCACACACCCCGCACTTCCGGCACCAATAACAATAAAATCGTACTCCTCTCCTGCTTCATGGCTCTTCTCCCCCGTGAAAAAGGAGTTCGAGAAGCCTCCGTTCAGTTCGTGGTCAAAAAAATTGGGAAAGTCCGAATGGCCATCGAGAGATTGCCCAAACAGGTTTGTCACTAGTTGCAGAAACAGAAACGTAGATGGCGCACATGTCGTGACGTTCGTGTAAACTGCGCATGCTTGCGACAAATCCGGCGGTATCCAGCTCATTTTCGAAACGGAAACAAACGAATAAGGTACCGTTTCATGGACTGTTTCACGACTGACTAGATACGAATTTGAATATCGTAGGCAATCAAGATTGCAGCTCAAGAACTGTATCGAAAGGTATGCTAGATTTCCCTTCCCATTTGCTCGTTAAATGGGGGATTTTTCGAATAAACCAACTTGTAATGGAAGGGTCATTAGTGGTCTAGTAGGCACGACATTTATTTATTAGGTTCATGACCACAACGTGATTAAAGCCGTTTTGTTATTATTTTTATGAACAATTTATGCGAATAGAAACCCGTTCACTGTTAGTTTTACTTCCACATTTCTTGTCATTATATTCCAGTAGGTAAGAGTTAGTCATTGTTATGCAACACTGCGGTTTCAGTTGGAATCCAAATAATCACCTGCAATAGGAATTGGAAAAAAAATCGAGAAGATCTGGTAATTCTCATTTTTGCAGTATACGCATTTGTTGCTGTGAGGTGGATATCATCATTCTACAGGGTGGTACAGTTAAGACCTCTCAGAATCTCAAGTTTTGAGAAGCAGTAGATCACATTATTTAATCCCTGCACTCAACAATCTATACAGGGTGTCCGGGAACATGTGGGAAATCTCCCGGATATGAAGAAAACACGTGAAAAGAATACTATAAGTTCATATAAACTTCTTTTGTATCGGCCTCCTCTTCGGAGATATGGGCTCCCAAAGAGCTCCCATGGAATTAAGTTTTTGACACATAATTCTTGAACCAACAGGTATATTTCAATTTTTTTTTAATATGATGTATACTAGGTAAGACTCTTCAAATTACTATCCAAGAAAGTGTTGCGAATTACTCACAGCTCCAGGGACGGACTAGCTGTGACACTCATGGGCCCATTTTTTTACGCCCTGTATGATAAGAACTCTGGACAACGTTTTTTACATACCTCTAACTATTGACTAAAAATTAAGTACTCTTCATTCATGTCGCTAATCATAACCGTTTTCGGAAAAACGTCATTTTATTTATATCATGTATTTAGCGTATTTCGATAAAAGATACTTTTTCTTCGAGTTACCTTTGCAAACGTTGCTAGGTTAGAAATAAATAAATATCCTTCATTTTAGAACTTGTCAACTTTCACATTACTGATACATTGATTCCTTATTACTTTGATATTTGATTTTTGAATTTCGTTGTGAAATTAATTGTGAAATAATTCGAAATATGGAATACACGTTTATTGAGTATGCAGATATGCATCTGATGTATGGTCTTGCATCTTCCAATGCTTTGGAAGCCAGAAGGTTATATCACGACAGATTTCCTAATCGCACTCTTCCAGATCAGAAGACATTTCAACGAGTTGACCAACGTCTAAGGGAGAATGGTGGGCGATTCTTCTTAATAAGGTATAATAAGGTAATGTTATTTACTTCTTTCATAATTTCAGGGAATTTTGGAAAAATAAGTAATAATACTGGTCAGGGAAGAACAGTACGTACGCCGCAATTAGAGGAAAATATTTTAAATGCTGTATATGATACTCCTTCAACGAGCACTCGAAAATTATCAGCGCAGTTTAATGCGTCGAAAACAATAGTACATGAAGTTCTTCAAGAACAACTGTTATACCCATATCATTTGCAAAAAGTGCATGAACTGATTCCTGAAGATTTTCCCCGTAGAATGCATTTTGCAAACTGGCTATTGGATCAGCAACGAAATAATGTAAACTTCATTAGCACTATTCTCTTCACGGATGAAGCAGGTTTTACCAAAAATGGTATCATGAATTTACATAACACCCATGTATGGGCTGATGAGAATCCTCATGCCACTATTGTTTCGCATCGCCAACATCAGTTCCAATCAATTAATGTCTGGGCAGGAATCGTTGGCAATTTTTTGATTGGACCATTCGTATTGCCGGCACGATTGAATGGAATACTTTATTTGGAGTTCCTCCAGAACGCTTTTAATGATTTAGTCGAGCACTTACTACTTGAAACCCGCCGAAACATGTACTTTATGCATGATGGGGCACCACCTCATTTCAGCGTTGCTGTGCGGGAGCACCTGAATAACGTCTATCCAAACCGTTGGATAGGTAGAGGAGGACCTATTGCCTGGCCTCCTAGATCTCCCGACCTAACGCCATTAGATTTTTACCTGTGGGGACACCTCGAAACCTTGGTGTATTCCACTCCGGTCGATACTAGGGAGGAACTTCTACGGAGAATCACGTTTCATTGTGATGTGATAAGGAACAATGCTGGGTTATTGTGGCGGGTACAGCAGTCCTCAATTCGTCGTGCTCGCGAGTGTATCAGACTTCATGGAGCCCATGTTGAACCCTGTTACGAAGTTTTTAACTAAGCAGTTAAAGTTCAACTTTTTATTGAAACTATGTTGGTTACCGTGGAAAATTACGCTAAATACATGATATAAATAAAATGACGTTTTTCCGAAAACGGTTATGATTAGCGACATGAATGAAGAGTACTTGTACTAAGAGTAAAAAACGTTGTCCAGAGTTCTTATCATACAGGGCGTAAAAAAAATGGGCCCATGAGTGTCACAGCTAGTCCGTCCCTGGAGCTGTGAGTAATTCGCAACACTTTCTTGGATAGTAATTTGAAGAGTCTTACCTAGTATACATCATATTAAAAAAAAATTGTAATATACCTGTTGGTTCAAGAATTATGTGTCAAAAACTTAATTCCATGGGAGCTCTTTGGGAGCCCATATCTCCGAAGAGGAGGCCGATACAAAAGAAGTTTATATGAACTTATAGTATTCTTTTCACGTGTTTTCTTCATATCCGGGAGATTTCCCACATGTTCCCGGACACCCTGTATAATGGAAAAGGCTGATGATGGACATATACAGGGTGTTTCTTAAGTACGTGTAGAAAATTCAGAAACATGTTGCTGCCGTCAAAATAAGAAGAAAAGTTCGTATAAAGATATGCCCGAAAATTATTTGTTTCTGAGATACAGAGTGTCAAAGTTGAATTCTTATTTTTGTTTCTTGTTAATAAATTCCATAATAATTGTGATATTTAAATAATGTTTGGTATCTAGGGGTATTTCTCAATGAGAATATCAAATCTTGTTGTTAGTTTAATTAAACTAAATCCATCAATCGATTTTTTGTTTGTTGGGTCACTTAAAGGCCTCAGTTTATACGGTGCCAATAGTAAGCGAAGATCAACTTCGTCAACGGATTATTGATTGCTGGATGTGACGCTTCACGAAATAAACCTGGTATAATGGAAGGAATACGTGGGTCTATGAGACGACGAGCAGACGCATGCATAATGCAAGGTGACTTTGAACAATTACTTCAACCAATTCACAATTCCCCCTGTTTAAGTATCAATTTGGTCTCAAATACTGTTATTATTATTAGTATTGAATTGTATTTACACCCCATTCCTATTTTGAAAAGAAATTAACGAAAAGTAATTCCCATTACTTGATGAATCAATTTTGAATTCCAACTTTTTGTCATTTCAAATTACTTGCATTTATCATTCCAAATCCTAAAAACTCGAAAACAGTTGCTCGCAGCGACCTGTACCAAGAATATATTTTTTATACATAAAAGTGTTCTAGGGATCTATTTTTCTACTATAAAACATGATACAGATACGCATAGGAAAGTTATGACTCTTCAAAAGACTCAAAAGACATGTAGGTGGCGCCACCCCCACGAAAGCACCGAAAGACACAAACCATAGATTAACGACTCCCCTAGATATACACCGTGAATGGGAATTTGGTCAACACTGAAATTAGTGAAACAGAACATACACAGATGTCTCCAGTATCCTTGGTGCGAATAATTCATCCGAGGTCCAGACAGTCTGTGGTATATTTATAGCGCCGTGCACGCTCGAAACCGGTTATATGTTACAGCGTTGCCAGAATGTGGCATTCACTCCTATAACCATTCTTGGATAAACAATCAGATCAGAATAAAAATAACTATTTCCTCCGATTGGTAGCAAATATTAATTTTGCTGACATATATCAATCAGCAAAGTATTACTTTTCCTGCCTAGGCAGCAAAGTGGGTACTTTGCTGATTGATATGTATCAGCAAAATTAAAAATCCATAAATCGTTTATAATTTCCTTCATATTTCATCCGAGACTTCCCCGGCAACAAATTCAACTCTATATTTTTGGCACCTTCCTTATTAATGGAGGTGTGAGTATACTTCCAGGTCGCTATCACTGTCCATTATACCAGATGTCCCATTTCAATCTTTATTTAGAAATTTCTCGAAATGTATCCATCTGACAAAAAAAATTGACGAATAAAAGTTGTATGGTTTGGAGGGGGACGTCTGGTTATAAAACAAGTTTCACCCCCTGACCCCCAGGGGAGTAAGAAATGGAGGTAACATTGAAATCTTTAATGGAAACCCCTATTTTTTATTGCAGATTCTCGAAGAGCATTGAAAACTATGAAGCTTTTATCCGGGAATTTCTTTTTTATTTTCACAAGATGGCGCTGCGATCGTGAAAAACAATATTTCACTATTTACACATTTCAGCCCCCTGAAGACGGGGAAGAGTGTAGGGTGTGATATTTTCCCAGACAAACGCCATTGGGGTGATATTCACACGACAAATTAACGCTAAACGAACTTACTCACCTTGACACCTCTACATAGAAAAGAGAAAAATAAGCATGTTTCAGCAATTAAGGTATCATTTAGGTCATACTAAAGCTGGTTTTAAGTGAGATTGACTACTTTATCAAGTGTTCGAAATGGCTCCATTTTCTTGAATACACAAGTTCACTCGTTTTTCAAAATTCCGCACTGTCGCTTCCAACATAGCAGGCGTTAAAGCCATGCACGCTCCTGTAATTCTATCTTTCATATTCTCGCGTGTGGTTGGGGGTTCGCGAAACACAATGTTTTTGATGTAACCTCACAGAAAGAAGTCTGGGGAAGTCAAGTCGTGTGATCTGGGTGGCCAACTACAAACTAAATAGTAAAATATTGTTTTTCAAGATCGCAGCGCCATCTTGTGAAAATAAAAAAGAAGTTCCCGAATAAAAGCTTTTTAATGCTCTTCCAGAATCAGCAATAAAAAATAGGGGTTTCCATTAAAGATTTCAATGTTACCTCCA